AGTACTTAGCCTCCCTTAAGTTTGAAAGGATAAGAAAGTCAGGGTTAGCTAAATTGCTGAACCTCTTATTTCATTTTAACTCACTCGGCTAATCCAGGCATTACTAATTGATTGTGGATTGCCGAGAGGATTGACTCACAATACAGTGTGTAGGAGTTGCAATAAAATACAAGTGAGGTAAGAATTCTCTCAGATCGAAGTTTCATTGGCAACTTAAAATTGACAAGTATAAACAGGAGAACAGTGCATCCATTCTTTATTGCACTGACTGGTTTTCCTTTAAGTGATTATTAAATTATCCCGTTCACCTAGTAGCTAAAGCAGCTCTGTCACTTGTGAGTTTTTCATAAGGATGGAATCTTTTTAAAGACCTAATTTAGGCAGTAATGTGATTTCACTGGAATTCCATCACATTCCAAAGACCTCACAAGGCAAAGCAGCGATTGCCTTTTCTAACACAGGCTTCCCCAAACTCCGGCCCTCCAGATGTTGCTGGACTACAACTCCCATGATTCTATGAATGAAGTAGATAGGCTGGGAATCATGGGAGTTGTAGTTCAGCAACATCTGGAGGGCTGGAGTTTGGGGAAGCCTGGTCTAACGCATGAGCCTAATTTTGTTTAAATGTATCGAACATCAAGTTTCTACCTCCCATTTTAACAGAGCCACCACAGGTAAGCCAACTTGTGAACGGTATTTGTATTATTACGATTAAAAAATATATATTTTGGGGGGTGGGAATGCGGGCACAAGAATTACAATGCAAATATATAGAGTCAAAGCAAGTTAGTGAAGTACATCCATACAATTATTGACATACACGTCATTTTCAACAATATAGTAGGATATATCATAGCTCGAAGAAATATTGCAAAGGTATACTAGCAGGAAGGTAAATTAACAGGCTGGAGGGAATTATAGAAACTAAGAGGGGGCTAACCACAATGGTAACTAGGAAGGTTCCTAGGGGGAAAATGTGGAAAATGGGAGTTAACATATAAAAGGTAAGTCTCTACAGACAAATGCCTCTAATATGATGGTCACATGGTCACATGGTTTTGGCTGTTTTTGTCATTTGTTTTATGGTCTATCCATAGCTCTTTTCAAAAGGATTTTATAAATACGGAGAACAAAATTAGAATTGCATGTGTGCTTGGGAATAAGGAACCCACAAGCACTGTATACAATAAAAGGGACACTACAGACACCTGAAGGACTTCAGCTTGCTGTGGTGCCTTATGTGAGGAGTGTGTCCTCTTTTTTTTTTTTTGCCATTTTACAAAAAAGAGCAGAATTTCAGAAATTGACATTTCTATAAATAAACAATTTTACACCCACCTTGCTTTCAATCAGAAAACCTGTCCTGTTATTTCCTGGTTTGTTTAGCTCAGTAGAGATAGGCAATAGCTAAGAACACCTTCTTTGCAAAGATGTCTCACTGAGCTGCATTAGGAAGTCTGTGATTGGACAGCCACAGAAACTCTGGGTGGGTTAGAAGGGGAGGGCTTGTAAAGGATACAGAGAAGAGATTTGCTGCTTTTGCAATCTGTTTTTAGATAAACCCTCAATGAAACAATGTATAATTAAATAAATTGATGTTTTCATTAGAGTTATATTTACTAAATAGTAATTTTTCTTTTTTTTACATTTTGAATTAGAGCAGTTGAGTATCCCTTAAATGGGCTGGTTAGAGATAACATTAAATGAAAAGGAGTTGGAACAATCAATTATAAATAACAAACAAGGCATCAACTTGCAATGCTGGTCTGACATTGCAGAAGCTAGTAAGGTGTTTCCATGTATAAAAAGGGGTATTGAGGGGCGGGGCTGAACGCAGTAGCGAGCGGTCGCAAATCTGAGAGCTCCGGCACATAGCCACGACAATCGGTTTCCTAGCCGCCTTACCTCCAGCCATCGGGACCCGGGGAACCCCCACACAAAGCCTAACCGACATGGGGAGGAAGAATAAAAAACAAAGACCCGACAAACCAAACCTGGGGATGACGATTGGCGATATGTGGCGCCAGGCGCAGGGAGTGACGGGGCCTAAAATGGCCGCCCTCTCAGACTGTGAATCCGATTACTCGGATGACTACTCTGGCGGAATGGAGGAACAGACCCCGCGAGGGGCAACAAGACTGCAGCACAACCCGGACAAACCTGACAGCGCACCGGTGACTAAAGCGGTGCTGCAGGAACTCCTAGCAGACCTCCAGAAACATATCTCAGCTGATGTGGCAGCGGTCCGCAGCGATATACAGGGCCTCACAGGCCGCATGGGAACCCTGGAGGGCACAACCACCCAGAACACCCAGCATATAGCAACACTCCAACGGGAGATGGCAGACCTACGCACACAAAATTTGATGCACGAACGCCGCTTTGCAGCGCTGGAGGACAACAGGCGCCGCAACAATCTAAAGGTGCGGGGGGTAGCCGAGACCGTTCTGGACGCGGAGTTACCGCACTTCACAAGGCGGCTGTGGGACACCTTGCTGCCATCGAAACAAGCTAAGGCAATGCAGCTGGAGGGTTTGTTCCGCATCCCAAGATCCAACAAGGCTTCAACTGCAGAACCAAGGGACCTGGTGGTCCAGTTCAGGAGTGGAGCAGACAAGACCACTGTGCTTAACGCCCTGAGGGGGAAAACCCCAT